CTCAGATTGGTAAGTCATCCACCCAAAATGTAGGAAGTGGCAAATTTAAGAGGTTTTATACAATTATAATTCAGTTCCCATGAATCTGTTCTTTGCAACAAATAAAGAACCATAAAGAAAAGAAAAAGGACACGCAGGAGTGTGAACTTAGACCAGCAAGTATTTCCTAATGGATGAAACCAGAAATTTCTCAGCAGACACATCTGTAGCCCAAGAGGGTTTTACCTTCTCAGCATCCACAACCTGCTTTACAGAACAGGGTATCACAATACACCTTCTACAATGAAAAGCAACAGGCAACTCAAAACTGAACTGCTGATAGCTTTTCCTTATACTATCACTTGTGCATATATACACATATATATATTATTTATCTCTTATGACTCCTAAATTGTGTAAGGCTGCAATGGCTTTATCTGCCAAACACCGGAGACTGGCTCTGGCTGTTACCATCACTCATGCAAGGGGAGTCACAGGCAGTGAGCAGGGATTCGCTGTCAGCTCATTTCTAACTGCTGATGGCTGATTCATCATCAGGGTTTGTGAATGCACAGACCAGAACTACACCCACTTAATATTCTGTCTTACTATGTGCTTAACTACTAAGAAAATCAACATTATGAGAGGAAGAACAAACAGCCCAGAAAAGCAGAATATTACAGCCAGCTCGGCTTTGATCACGCACTTTCACGTTCATTTTTGGATGGAACAGCAGGTTTAAACAATCCCACGTTTTAACCCAACAGTCTGCTGTGCCCCAAAAATCAATCTCTCATTGTGCCAGGATTGTTTTGTGGTGCCATGCTATGAATCACTCTACAGAATTAACTTGGCTGAAAAAATATACACTTCTTTTTGCTCTGTTGTTTTTTAGACAGATTAGTTTCTTATTAAACCCACGGCAGACCTGAATAAATACTGGAAGGGACAGTGAAAGGGCAGGAGTGCCTTGAATCAGTGCTGCTGACAGAGACACAGCAACTTTACAGTTAGCAGCACTGGTATTTGGCAAACTTCATTCCCCCCTACAAACTACCTTGTGTTCTTCACAGAAACAGATGAAAAAGCTAACTGGACTGAAAAAAATAAATCTAGTAAAGAAGATGTGGCTGAGTAAATGAGTAATACTTAAGAACTACATGGAACCACAGAGATTAACACATATGATCAGGTATGGATGGGGAGACAAAGCAAAGAGAGAGAATCAGGCTGATTAGAAATGGGTAGGTAGAGAAAGAGATGAACCAAACTGAAAGGGGAAAGTAATAAAAGCAAAATAATGACAAAGAAAGAAAAGAGTATGAAGTGCTGAGATAAACAAAGCATTAACAAAATGAGGACAGACATTAGAGCAAGGAAAGCAGTGCCACTAAAAATGCCATCAGATACGTTATCACACTTTCATCCTTCTCACATTAGAGAACCAGTAATCCACCAACTACCAAACCAAGGCCCCGGGCTTCTGATGTTGGGGATTAAAAGACTATTGCTCCTCAGAAGATCCAACTCAGTCTGGCAGTCCAAAATACCTTCCTTTGGCAGCTGTACCTGGACTAATTCAGAACAGCTTCCGTAAAGCAAAGAACTATCCACACATTCAAAAGGGAGAAAGCATGCACTGGAGAGTGTTAAAAATCTTACACTGATTCACACTGATCACTTTACACTTACTTACACGCTGATTCAGGCTTCCCTTCAATGTATCACAAGTACCCTTTCACCTTCCTTGCAGACACCACTACCTTGCCATGGGAAAGGTTACCTGACAGCAAGGTGAATCTGTTCGGCATCAGTTGCTGAAAGGATGCAATCTACCCTGGCCCCCCTACCTCCCAAATATTACTGAGTTTTCAATGGTGTCTTTTTGTTGCTGGTTGCTTTCTCTGCTACTGTGCATGTTCCTACTACCTTCTCATAGAATCCTAGAATAGTTTGGGCTGGAAAGGACCAGAAGATCATCTAGTTAACACCCCCCTGCCATGGGCAGGGACACCTCACACTAAACCATATCACCCAAGGCTCTGTCCAACCTGCCCTTGAACACTGCCAGGGATGGAGCATTTACCACTTCTTTGTGCAACCTATTCCAGTGCCTCATCACCCTCACCTAACCTGAACTTGCCCTGTTTCAGTTTAAGCCCATTTCCCCTTGTCCTATCACTACAGTCCCTGACGAAAAGTCCCCCTCTGGCATCCTTGTAGGCCCCCTTCAGATACTGGAAGGCTGCTCTAAGTATGTTTTTCTCCTCCCCTTTCCCTATAGTACTGCCATACGCAGAACAGAAGTATGTCCACAGCAGCATCCAGAGAATACAAGCCTCTTCTCCCTGGGGATCCAATCAGACTTTGCAAAAGTCTGAGGAAGCTGGATAGATCTTTCACTCCTGAGTACCACAAATTACCTCCAGGAAAACAACACACAACATTTATATGATTCCTAATAACATTTGCCAACAGTCCCTAATTTTGCAACACACAACTAAAAAAAGTGTAATTTGAAAACAGAATAAAACTTTAAAAATCTGTCCTGTTTGATAGTGAAAACCAGCTCCTTCCCACAACAGTCACAAACTGCCACCTTGCTGCTGTCAGAAGTGTGACCTGTGCTCAAGCCTCATTTAAAAAAAACAGAATTAAACTGAAATCTTGTGAAATATCAATCTCAAAAATGAACATTGACCTCTATTGTTCTGTCGCTGCAGGCAAGGTTAGCCGAGTTAAACAATGGCTGAGGGAGCTGTGCAGCCAACATCACCCGGCATCATTTGTCAAATGGTTCTTTCAGGTAGATGCAACTTAATGGAAAATTTCTGTTTCCTTCCAATTAAGCTGCACAAAAGATGCCTCTCCAAACAATTCTCTTCGAACTGCTAGGTAACAGCACCATCTGGTGGTCAGACAATTAAACATGCTTTTGGATCCGTTTTTTTTTTTTGTTGGCTGTGGGGTTTTTGGTATTGGTGGGATTTTGGGGGGTGATGCGACTGTTTTGGGTTTGTTTTTTTTTTTTTAAGCAAAACTACTTTGCATTCAATCTGACTCCATGAGGTAGGAACAAATAAAGCTGTAAAGCAAGCTAGGAAAAATTACTTTGGTGGGTGAGAGAAGAGCAGAACAACTGAAAGGAATTGCTGGGGGTTTATATATAGCTATTTCCCCCTAAAAACAACTATATAGTATTATATGGCTTCTTGGAATATTTACCATCTTCACAGAATCATCACGCTGTCCTAGAATGGTTTGGGTTGGAGGGGATCTTAAAGCTCATCCAGTTCCAACCCTCTGCCACAGGAGGGATACTTTCCACCAAGTCATGTTGCTCCAAGGCCTGCCTTGAACACTGCCAGGGATGGGGCAGCCACAGCTTCTCTGGCATCCTGTGCCAGCGCCTCAGCACCCTCACAGTAAATTTTGCTCATTATGGGTATGCTGTAATTAGTTCTTACGTCTTCAGGGATCCTGGAGAACAACTGCTCCCTCACACACCAACAGTTACATACTGCCCCCTACCAGCATCACAACCCTTCACAACACTGCACCTTCCTGCTGATCTCCTGCTACTCTCTCCATGCAGAAGCCAAAATCCTTCCTCCTCCTCAGTCTTTACAAAAGTAACACCTAGTACATGCCTCCGGGTTGTTTAATGATTTTCCCTCCCAGTTGTGTGAACTTTCACTTACTCACAGGCACTCAGTAGAAGACAACAGATGATCTACCTGATCTATGTTAGAAAGATAAATGTGGTTCTTTGCCGTTCAGAAGGTACTTCGCAGAAGATAGATCACAGAGGCAAGTCAGATAACATGTAAGCTATACCTCACTAGAAATCGTATTCCATTCAACCATTAATTTACTTTCAACGTTTGAGACCTCATGAATCTGCACTAGTTTTTCACCTTCTGAAAAAACCCTAAACAAACCAACCTTTGACTGGCATTTTCACAACAGCTCTGTTTAACAACAAAAATAAATTACAGGATCATAAATAATAAACAAAAGATGACAGTAAAGTTTGCCAAAACACCCTCAAACATATGTTAAATTTCTTAAAGACTGAAAGTGTTCCCCGTTTCAGCACTCACACATTATGGCTTACTTAAACCTACAACACAAATGTGTTTAGCTGTAGTCTGCTGTGATTCTATGAAAAAACTAGGTCCTTTGCAAGGAAATACTGCTAATAAAACAGGGTAAATAAGACATTCACTTGATAGAAAAGTGTCAGATGATACTGTAAACTAAAAAACAGTTTAAGTACTATTTAGAAGTATTAAGTAATACCAGATTGTCCTTGTGAGACCAATAATCACCCACCAGGCCAATGAATTTAGCCAAGGACTTGGGTTAACATAAATCACAAGGACTTATATTCTGCATTTCTGGAGATATGCTATGGATCCTCTCAAAAAATATTAGTTCTGTTTATACATACACCACTTGCTAGAGTGAAAAGACAAGCAGAACTTCAATTTCAAATATTTAGAAAATACAAAAGACCTGGAGACAAGTTCCAAACTTCTTTTTAAAATGTAAGAGAGAAGGGGGAAAAAAGGCATACAGACTAAGAAACTTAACAGCTAACATACAGCTAAGACATGCAAGATGGAGAATTCACTGAAAATTGAGAGGAAACATCACACACTGGAATCTTCATTAACTCCAGAGAATTCCTCAAAGAAAGATAAAAGCGAGGACCCCAAACCAACCAAAAAGAACCAACCAAAAAGAAAAAAGCCACCCCTAACACTACAGACCCTACTTCTGATCTTTCCCAGCTACAAGGAGCATTGAACAGCAATTACAACTATTACAAAGAAAGGCACACACAGGAATGGAAGAAGTGGTGGAACGAGTTAGAAACAACTGTTCATTTTACCTAGGCATTTATAGCTCCCTACCTAAAACAGGAATAATTAACATAACCCATTCATTTGCTTTCAGACTTCTCACTTCTACAAATACATTAACAAAGTTCAGTTCCTCAACAAGCACCCTCTTACCTGTTTGTTGGAGTGGTAAAGCTAAATGACAGCAGCTGATTCCAGAACGGGTCATTCTCAGAGATGGGCTCTGCTCCTGATAACTTTTTTAAGTACTCATTTTCTGGAAGCTCACTGATGCTGCTGCTATTTGCTCCCATCTTCTTTGTTTGGCAAATAGGTTTCTAAATCTTCATTTCTTCTAGAAAAGAAAAAAAAATAAAAAGAGAGAAACATATAAGTCTTGTGTACAAATACAGAATATACAGACCCAGAATCAGTAAAGCTTCAGTTCGCAACCTTGAACAATTACTGAAATGTAGAAAATAGGCACACAAAAAGGCATTATTAAAAAGATTTTCTTTCAAAGAACTTGGGACAATAACACCTCCAGCCAAGGAAACGAAAAGTTACTGTGCTATATGCTTCAGTCATCATCTCACTTGGATTTTCATAAATCACACGGCAGTAACAGTGTCACACTTCGTATCAATACCAAGGCTGCCACCAGTGGGGAAAAACTCAAGGAATTCACAATTTAAACAGAGGTGTCAAGTCAACAAACTGTTCAAAAAACGTATTTTCCAACTGAATATACATAGATAGAAAATGACTCCTGTTGTCAAGAATGGGAGTCCATCACACAGCTAATTTCTGTGTGCCATCAATGATCCACACCTTAAAAACAGCCACCTTGCCAGAGCAAGCACTATGCTACACAGTTAATTTGAATTAAGTGAGGAAATGTACTACTGAACCTCTTGATATTTGCAAAATAACATGGTTGGTTCCAGCCAACTACTTCAACGGGGGAAAGCTAAAAAATGAACACATCAGAAACAACTGCTTTTTGAAGCAACACTGAACAAGTCAGCGGGGATATGCTCCAAAACATCTTTTCATTACTTGCTGTGCTGCACTGGATCTGTGTGAAGAATGAAAAGATTTCAATTCTTCATGCTGCTTATCAGCACTTCATAAACAATTTAATTAAAGAAAATAAAAACACCACGATGCAATTAACTATGTGCCAGGGATGCTCCTAAGCATCTTAAACCTTTCCAGGACATCAGCTTTAATAATCTCCCACCTTTCGAGGGGAAATAACGGTGACCAATAGCTTTAGAAGTTTGTATTTAAAAAAGCACCCCCATCAAGATAAAATTGCTGTGTAAGATATTACTGTGAAACCTAAATATTCACTCCTCAGCTGGCATAAGAGAGAACAGAGACAGCTATATCAGAAACAGCAACACCTCCCTTGGTCTCAATAGGATTTGTTCCAAGAAGTACTCCAGCACTGATTCTCTTAGACCTCTATTTGCAGAAGCTATTACTCCCAGAAAAGAGCATTCTAGTAGCAGTTTATATGAATATAGATTAGTACAAAAATGAAGAGAACTTACTATAAAGAAACAGAGATGCCATGAAAAGCTGCAATCATAGAATCATAGAATAGTTTAGTTTGGAAGAGACATTCAAAGGTCATTTGGTCCAAACCCCCTGCAATGAGTACGGACATCTTCAACTAGATGAGATGTCTGCAGTCATCCGAAAGGCTACCTGAAGAACTTCCCTCAAGATTTAGAGGGAATGCACAGTACCCCAGTATTTCAGAAACAAGAAAGCACCAGCACAAATGGAGAGCAGAATACAGAATACTTAATACTATTAAGTAATAAAGAGGTCTTTAAAAGCTGACACCCAACAAAAATGAGGAAAATGTTTATTATTTTCTAAATTCTGTTTGCAGGGGACACTATAGGCTAGGAAAATACCACTCCGCACTCCTTCCCCTTCATTCCAGGGCTCCATCCTCCACTATCACTATTCACTGCTCTAACAGAGATAAAACTTTATACTGAACCAGTATATCTGCTCTTATTCCAACTCCACTGCTGTAACTCTGTTATCACTCACCCAGGGAGCTATAGTTTCTAATGCAGTTATTTTCTACCACTTCTCTTTATATCTGACCAAAGGAAAGAGCGATACAATGACCTTATAACCTTATATATGTCTCATATAGCAAAAAACTCTGACAACACTGTCTGTAGCATTTGCAGAACTCATTTTTGCCATGAAGACTACCTACAGGAAGATAAATATAAAAGCAGCCTAGGAGTAAAAAGGGAAGTTGGTGCCAGGGAATTCTGGGGAGAAGCAATAAAGGATTATAAAATGTAATTAGTTTAAGAGGATTTCCAGAACTTCGGCTGAATGCTTACTCACACAAAAGAACGAATGCATCTTACCTACACACAAGTTTTGCTGTCTCAAAGATAAAAGACCAACACTCCATGTACGCTACCTTTGAAACAAAGCCAACAAATACTGAAGCAATAGAATAAAGAGGAGAAAACAAATTTTGCATAATATAAGGGAATACTGGATCATCACTTGGAAGTAGAATCAAGGTTTAGCTTGTACATGGGCATATCTGCCCTGCAGCCCTTGGTTTGCACATGTCCAACCACTGCAGAAGCAAACACCAGTGACAGTGACCCTGGACCCATATTTCAGCTCAAGTCCCCTCTCGGCACTTCTGAATAATTTAAAGGTCTGGGAGACCTGAGAGCAGCTCCAGCGCATAAAGGGGCTGCAGGAAAGCTGGAGAGGGACTTTGGACAAGGGCCTGCAGGGACAGGCCAAGGGGAATGGCTTTAACCTGCCCGAGGGGAGACTGAGATGAGCTCTTAGGCAGAAGCTCTTCCCTGTGAGGGTGCTGAGGCGCTGGCACAGGGTGCCCAGAGAAGCTGTGGCTGCCCCATCCCTGGCAGTGTTCAAGGCCAGGTTGGACACAGGGGCTTGGAGCAAGCTGCTCTGGTGGAAGGTGTCCCTGCCTGTGGCAGGGGCTGGAATCGATGAGCTTTAAGGTCCCTTCCAAGACAAACCAGTCTAGGATTCTGTAATCCCATGACACCTCTGTTAAGCAATGTGCTCTTTCATATTCTCATCCATCTAGCTGTATGTTGGTTAAGGGAGTAGAGGTTCCAATCTTTAGATGACACAAAAGGTCAGCCAGTTTGGAACACAACTGCCACGGTATTTTTGGAATTGTACCTAATCCTTACTTAGCCGTGATTTTCATAGAACCAAGGCCCCACCACACAGCAAGGCAAGTCAAGGGGATCCCAAAGCCACTTCAGAAGACCAAGCTGAACAGTTTCTGCTTACTCATATGCTGAAGCAGGACAGCCACACTAAGCACCAAGTAACAGGAAATCCCCTGAATTCATCTGTGACAGTTATTTTTCTCCTTCTTAGTAGTTGGTGCTTAAACTACAACACCCATTCACTCCAAAAAAGTCAGTTCCAACCCTAGAAGTAAATTACCAATGGAATCTAATTTTTTTTTTTTCAGGAAATACATTTAAATAAAGAAAAAAAGGAAAAAAAGCGTGGTTCATAAAAAAAATAATTAATTAAGCCTTCTTTTGAGAAGCATTAACTTAGTTTTTTTCCTTAAAGAGACAATTTATTAGCAAGTCCTTTGGTTTAACATAGTATTATTACCTCTACATATCACAACAGTTTTCTTTCTAAATAAACTAGGAACATCCCCAAAGAATCATAGCTTTGTCTACAACTGACATGCTTTATTAAACCAAACACCTTTTTAGTCCTAGAACTTGGCTCCATGATGTAGCAGCAGACCCTTCAGAGTAAACACAAGGAAGTTTGTTTTGCACGAGGACTCATCCCAAACTCAAATAGCTATGGGTAGATAGAAATTTACTGAGTTTACTGTTCCTTCTAAAAGATTTTAATATCGATTATTAACAGTGCTTACAAGAACATCATTTTTCCCTCTTCAAGTTGAAAGCAATTCAGCAGTACATACATGCTGTGTTTGAGCCCGTGACTCAAGGTACAGCATGTGTACTGCTGAACCTGGAAAAAAACTTATCACGCTCTCTAAACCTTCTAATTAAATAATTTTAGGTAAGTAATTACAGCTCCACCACGTAATAGATCTCCTACTGGTCTCACAACTTAACTCCCGATGTTGACATTTTGCTAATCACCCCCTTCCAAAGCTATGCTCACCGCGGTCATCTGGTTGAGTCTGAAGACAACCTGAATAATGAAGATTATATACAGCTGTGGTTTGGTGTTTTGGGGTTTTATGTTTGGTTGGCTTGGTTTCTGTGGTTTGGTTTAAGTTAGTACTTTAAAGTGTAAGAATTTGAGGCAGTCATGCAGATGACTTTACCATCTGAGATGTGCTTTATAGGTTGGGTCTTTAACACAACCGTATTAAAATAAATTAAGTGATGCTATTATACATTTGAAAACCTAAAAATTTTCATTTCCATTCATAACAGCACTTGGTTACCTTCATAGTTTGCTGCTTTATAAACTAAAATTAATGGACATTGTTCTCCTTTCCAGCAAAGCAGCCAATGCCACTGTAAAGATGAGAACATTTGAGATGTAATGCTGCTTATTCAAGTATTACCAAAGCAGCTGCACTGAGGCTTTTGGCTGATCCCTATTTGCTTTCAAGAACTTCAGGTTTCACACCATCTTTCACCCATAAGACATTAAACCGTCCCACAAAATCCTAACATATAACTTCCCCCCCAGTTATAAGATTACTGCAATATATATATACTGCTCTCCACACAATGGAAGCTACATTGGCAGTAGGCATTATTCAGCTCCAATACTTGAATTTTACTGTCCACACAATATATTTGAATTCTGTCTACTCATTTATATGACAATAATATTTATACCTGAGCCCAGAACAATACCTAAGGATCAAATGCTTTGTGGACTAAGTATCACACACAACACATACCTACACAACTAACAGATACAGCATCATAAGATAAAGAACAGTCTGACAAAAACTAAGTTACATCTTGCAGATGTATATTCACGTGCAGGATCAGAGTTAGCTGTCTACAGTAGCTGTGCAGCCCTCAGGTTTGTTCATGGGAAGCATCTGTTTAATTTCTTTTATCCTGCTTTACTAGACCAGGGAAAGCTGCAGTAAACCAGAAGCCCTGCTTCTTTTGACGCCTTTATTAAGCTCCTCAAACCCAGCAAACCAGCTTTTGCAACTCACTAGCCCATTTCTGTATTCCCAAATGAGAGATTTATTCCTATCAAAATACTCCCATTTTCCAGGAAGGACACAAAATATCTCAAAACATCTCCAGGCCCACTGAAAGAGAGGCAATCAAACTGAAGACAGGAGATTGGATAACTCCAAGCTGATCTCAGCAAGCACCTGCATGTACTGCTTTAATCCTCACCCCAATGCACCTCGGCTTTGACAATCCTCTGCCACGTTTCATCAAATCCCAAAGTCTGAAGAAACTTTCTGACGAAAGAGATGTTATTTCTGTCCATCAGTGAAGCAACACAGCCCTCTGGGACACAAAAGGAATCACAGGATCACAGAATCCCAGACTGGGTTGGGTTGGAAGGGACCTTAGAGCTCATCCAGTTCCAGCCCCCCTGCCATGGGCACGGACACCTTCCACTAGAGCAGCTTGCTCCAAGCCCCTGTGTCCAATCTGGCCTTGAACACTGCCAGGGATGGGGCAGCCACAGCTTCTCTGGGCACCCTGTGCCAGCACCTCAGCACCCTCACAGCAAAGAGCTTCTGCCTAATGCCTGGAAGCTTCTCTATAGTGTCCCTGGAGCCTTCTCTTCTCCAGGCTGCCCCACCCCAGCTCTCTCAGCCTGGCTCCAGAGCAGAGCTGCTCCAGCCCTCGCAGCATCTCCGTGGCCTCCTCTGGACTTGTTCCAACAGCTCCTATTAAATGAGCACTGATACTGGAAAACCAAATAGATTTGATGTCAGCAGCTAAACTGGAGTTTCTCTTCCCTAAATTATCTGTAGTTACTTATGCTCACTTCCAGAAAAGAAGGCAACACTCAACAGACCCTGTAATTTAAATTGCAGTTAACTCACTGAAGCATGCACGTAGGTATCTGAAAAGCAAAGTGACACTGCTCCCTCCCTTAAAAGGGATGGCTTTGCAGCTTTCCTTGCATACAAAGTGTTTATTCCACTGTACCTGCTTGGAGAATTGTTTTGGTGTTGTTAGTGAGGCTGGGGAAAAAGAACACCCAACAAGAGATGTGACTTGATCTTTCTTCATAGATAAAAAGCAGTCATACCAATATTTCACTCACAGCAAGAGATCATTCATACCCCAAAATGAGGTACAAAAGCATATGAATTTGAGGTTTACCAATTAAATTGGTAACATTTTGCTAAAAAGTGATGATGCAGAAATACATGGCAATAAGAATTCATGCCTGTAACACGAGCTTGAGGGGGAAAGGAAAAATCTTCACAATCCTCAGAATACAGGAAATTATGCCTTTTTGAATCAGAGAAAAGCACTGAAACAATCTCTGCTTTTAAAGCATGTTAATGAGTCAAAATATTTGAGCTAAAACTTAATGCCTGGCAATCATCAAATGCAGTCAATCCACCACTAAGAATTCACGTTCTTTTATACGCCAGCCACTTACAACCAAGCAGCTTGGGAGATTTCAGAGCACAATTAATGCATCCTTCATGACTACAAATTAAAAACGCTTCCTACTGATTTTAAGTTAATGACTATTGCAGGAAAGACCGTGCTCATTTTACTTTTCACTGTACTGACTCGTAATCTTCCTCCCCTTTTCTGCTGCATGTTTGGCAACCACTCCTTTCTCCAGTTCCCTCTACCCATACCCCTTAATCTTCCAGACTGAAGGTGTTCAGACACATACGGTGACCCCACAAAAAAGAGAAAAAATAAATAGCTTTCAAGATATTGTTCAAATTGTCTATTTGACCAATATCTAGAAATATCTCTATTTTTCCTCTACCCACTATTTTTTAGACTCTATCAAGTTTGATAGTTACTGTCTGAGGTCATGAAAGTCTCCACTATGTCTACAATCTTTTAAAATACGTTTTTCTGCACCACAGGACACTAACCATTCACCAGGTACCAAAGTGTGTTTCCTTAAAGCTCAACACCTGAGGACAGATGTATTTATTAACTGCTGTCCAAAAGTACAACACAATTATGAAGTGGTCCACACAATGCTTAAGTACAAGAAAAATAAAGAAAATGCCATCTTCAGGTCTTTAGGTAGCTCTCAATAAAAATCATCTGACTTGACCACTCTTTAGTCTGCTGGATGAACAAACACAGCATTTTTTTTCATCCTCCTGTAACTTGTTCTAGTGCCTTCCTCTTCTGCAGCAAGAGCAGCACTGCAGTGACATTAGCGTGGTCCTTACAGGTTTCACTGAAGCCTAAAGAGTCTTGCACATAGCAGAAGTGATTAATCTTGATAGATTTACTGCAGGCAAAGAAGGCCACTCAAAGGGAAGGCGAACAGCAGCTGCAAAAACCAGTGATGATACTGTGTTTTCTGCTCCAGTTCCTTTCCCACACCATTTTACGTAGGAGTCAGTCGTCAATAAAAGCCTAATTCTGAAGAGCACAATCTGCTCACTTCACAACCCACCTACAGGACAGTTGTTCTGCTCACAGCTGAAGAAGGGATTTTTCAAGACCTTTTTGGTTAGGTGTATTTCAAGCAGGAGAAATGGGATATGAGCAGGAGAAATGGGATCTTGCGGTTGCTGACAGAACTGCTCAACAACAGATGCTATAAATCACCTTTGCCTTCGCCAGTTCACCCTCTGGTAATCTCAGAGTTTGCCATAAGGTGCTCTGGAAAGGAGGTGACAGAAAAATGAAAACCTAAATTCTATAAATGAGACTAAGATGTACAGCTTATCTATTTTCCCAGTGCCATCCCAGGAGCCTAATACATATTTTCCATATAATCACTAAGCAACAGGTTACTGTTGTGGTGATCAAATCCCCTGATTTTGATCACTAAGGAAATGCCTATTTATTAATCTCAAAATAGCTTATTTCAGATATACTATTGTCACCATCACTGGTTACCTTCAGAGTCTTGCCCCCAAATGGAACTACTGACTCATAGGGGGAAAACATCATCAAAACGTTGCTCAAACTGCCCTTCTCTAAAGTTATACATGATCAGAAAAAACTTGACATAAAAATGCCATTCCTTCTTACTGCTCCAACCTTTTGCCTGAGAACAAAAACTTCTGAAACACACTGCTGTAAAAAATATGAAAATGTTACATTATGGCTCTGGTCACCAATAAGGAAATATATGTGGTAAATACGAATCTTGTTTTGAAGACCTAAACCCCAAAACTGTGCTATCTCCACCCACCATGTATCAGCCCTTACATTAGCACATACCCATTAAGTGGGGTAGAAACCCATTAAGTCACACAATCGATTTACCTCTTATTTACCTCTCTCTCCCCACTCACAATGTTTTGTCAGAGGCAAGACAGCAGGAACGTACCAAGCCTCCTGAAGGAGCTTTTCCAGACAGGATGCGAATCCCACAGACACCTGTTAAGAAGTTCAGAGAGACTTCATTTAACTCTTACAAGTAAATAAGCATTTATAGCATTTAAGTACTTCTTTGTCTAATTTACACACATTCAACAAAACGGATCTTTAGTTCATTTTAAAATTAAATACAAAATTTATAAATTCATTATAAAGTTCAATATAAAATTCCACAAGATCTGTTAGGGACTCTTTAATTTTGACCCTTTTAATGCTGCTAATTACACTCCCACACTAAAACACAATACCTGTGGCTAAACCTCCCTGAAGGTGCAAAAGCCTCTAAAATTTGCCAGGAACTAACAAAATTTTAACCTGCAAAAACTATAAAGATCCTTTTCCTGACCTCCTACATAATTCCAGTCACAGCATTTTATTAAATAATTACTGCATCCAGCCTACCAATTTGAGAGTGGAATGACAGCACCAGTTTCAGAAATACATCCTGTCACAGCGGGAAGGAGAGGTGGTGTGGAGGCAATTAAAGAAATAAAATTACCTCTATCCTCACTCTTACATTCCTACATGCCAAGTAAATGTCAGAACTCGAACACAGCAAGTGTTTTCTGGAAGACATGCAGAGATAATTTCTGTAATTTGATTAGCAAAGCGCCATTAGAAGGGAGGAAGGCTGGGCAAGCACTGTGTAAAAGGATCCATTTTTCTCCACCTGTTAAACAACCACTACAGGCATACAGCATATTTTTCAAAAGTTTCAAGCAGTGTAAATTCAAATACTAATCCTGCTCTTTGCAGTGCCCAGTTATTTCTTTTAAAGGTTTCATTTGCCCTCACCAGTGAAACCCCTGCGCTGTACTGGAACTATAAAGTGAGAGGAACAAACTGAAGTTTAAACAGGAACATCAGTGGAATAAGGAGCTTAAAAAATAAAGAGTATGCCCAATACATACAAAGACTTGACTTCACAGCTTAAGAGTATCCTGCATATCAGTACCAATATTTCTGGTTCAACCACAACTTCTTACAGTGGCAAAAAAGACACTTTTGTTACCATGGTCTTCAATGGTACAGTTTTACACAGAGTACATAATAATCTATTCTGGATTATAGTGCTGAAAATTTTGTTTGTTATGAAAATGTTTTATGATTATTGATGAATTTGCCCCCACTTTATTTTTTAATAATCATTAAATCTACCTAAAAAAGAACCTCTAGTAATTCATTAATTTACTAACATAATTAAAATGGGCAGCTGGGTTGGATATAATACAAGTCATGCTAAACTTAACAAGATTTAATAATCTGCATAGCTAGTGGTTTGGTACAGTTATCTCTTTATGGAAGGGATGTTAAAATTATTGTTACAGGTACTTAGGATTTTCTCCCCATTTTACTCTCAGATATAAATAAATCTTGTGTAACGGCCAAAATGATGTTTAAAAAGTAAAAATAAATCAAACTCCTTTTAAGCTTCAAAAAGATGCTTAGATGTTCATTAAAAGGTCTGCAGACCAGGTAGATTTTGCTGTTTCAAAGCTTATACAATTATTTTGGCATCTGTACCCTTCACACAATTGGGAATTATGCATATTTTTCCAACAGAGCTATCTGTCTCTGTTTTAACTGTCTCTCACAGATAAAAATCTACCCAGAGCATAAAAAAGCATGTTATACTGAAGGCCAAATCTGTTTTGCATGTACACATAATTTTATACAATATGACACATCATGATTTATCTCACCTATCTCCAGAGTCTGCTGCAAATGAAATTACACTTGCCAAAGTGCGCAATTAACACAAGGTGCAGTGGGCTTTTCACTCTAGAGAATACACTTTGAAGAAATATCGTTATCACCTTTAACCATGCACTTTAATATCAGCTCACCAGCCACCAAACAGGATTTCTTACTTCGTAATACCTTCTGTCAGTCACCGGCATGTTAAAAACACACTGAGATCTTCCTGTTCATCTGATTAAAATTGCTGGAAGCACCAGAGCCATCTAAATTCGTTATGAATTTGCTATAAATACTTTCCTACTGAATTTATCATAAAGTATTAAGCATTAGAAGCTGTGCTACTAAAAGATCAGCACAGGATAGGAAGAGAAGGAGCTGATGGTCGCTTCAGCCAGATGAGAGAGCTGTCCATGGACTTCTGCTGATGCAGCAGCAACATGAAAAGAGAAAACAACCCAAGGAGAGGATGGAATGTGGCCTCCCTGAGCTCCTGGCAATTTAAGGAGCGAGGACACATTGTAACTCACCCCAAATGGAGCAAGTTCATAGAATCATAGATTAGTTTGGGATGGAAAGGACCCTCAAAGCTCATCCAGTCCAGCCTCCCTGCAACGAGCAGGGACATATTCATCTAGACCAGGCTGCCCAGAACCACATCCAGCCTGGCTTCAACGGTTTTTAGTTGGGAATTGACTAAATGGGGGATTGCACAACCCAGCAGCCTGTGTCAGGAAACTGGAACCAACCACCCAGGAGCTCCTTCTGCTCCCCCACACTCAGAAAGTGCCCAACAGGGGAAATATTAACAACCTACTTACTTGAAAAAAATACCTCAAATGATTGTAACTGCAGCCCAGCATGTTATCCCTCAGTGCATGCAACGGAATAAATGAGATTACAGCCTCGCTACACTTGGTGCAAAAGATTAAACACTAATAATAATAATTATAGAATCATAGGAACATAGAATCAGAGAGCGGTTTGGGTTGGAAGGGACCTCAAAGGTCATCCAGCTCCAACCCCCGCCATAGGCAGGGACCCCTTTCACTAAAGCAGGTTGCTCCAAGCCCCATCCAGCCTTGCCTTGAACGCTGCCAGGGATGGAGCATTTATATCTAAATTTGTAACAGTTCCTGCTACCAGCTCCTGTTTGAGGTCAATTTGGTCCAGGTAGAGTTAGTTACCAATAACAAACGAACAGTGCCTGGTGTGAAAGAATACAAGATAAAGCCTGGTATCTGTTAAGGTAAAAACTCTCTTTTCAGCTAAGCCATTCCCCACTCCTGCTAATCATTACCCCTGGAAGGAATGAAAACAAACAGCCACGAGTGACCACGAGGCACAGGGCGCCTGAGCAGGACCCCTGGACACTACAACTACAAAAGAAGAATAGAAAACACGACATTTTATACCGTTTTCACGAATAATAAGCGTCATTAAGAGCGCAACACCAGCAATGCGGGGAGAACGCTCTCCTACACGCTCTGACGCCTGCACTGTGGCGACAGCAGCAGCCCCGCAGCGCTGAGGGACCTCCGGAGACCGGGAGGGCCGAGGGGCCACAGCGGGGCCGCTGCCCAGGAGCGGGCACCGGCAGCGCCAGGAACTCTCCGCAGGTTCAGTGCTGAGCGCTCCCGCACGGCCGCAGCCCCTCCATCGCCACAGGGAGCGGTGGCAGTCGTGACAAGGGATAACCGGAACCCTGAGGGCGGGCGGCAGCTCCCGCTAGCACTGCCCGGCGCCCACCCCCTGCGGCGGGCCGGGCCCGGAGGCACCGCCGAGGCCCCCGCTTACCCGGTCAGCGGCGCCCCGTCCGCTCGCACCGCAACGCCGCGGGGCAGGAGGCGGCCGGTACCGCGGGCCCGGCCCGGTACCGAGTGCGGCTTCGGCGGGTCCCCCCCGCCCGGCCCCGCTCCGCTTCCCTCAGCGGCCCGCGCCCGCCGCCGTTGCCCGTACCCACCGCCCGCGTCCGGCCTTCCACGTCGCCAACGCGCAGCGCCGCGCATGCGCAAAGGTCCGCGGGGAGAGTGAAGCGAGGCGGCGCGGAGCACGCCGGGAAGTGTAGTCCTGGAAGGGGGACGGGGGGGTGGCCCTGGACTGCGGTGCTCCAAGCCCCTGTGTCCAACCTGGGCTTGAGCACTGCCGGGGATGGGGCAGCCACAGCTTCCCTGGGCACCCTGTGCCAGCCGTCGCCGCTGCATGTGGGATAGAGGAGGCCACGGAGATGCTGCAAGGGCTGGAGCAGCTCTGCTCTGGAGCCAGGCTGAGAGAGCTGGGCTGGGGCAGCCTGGAGAAGAGAAGGCTCCTGAAGGGGAGACCTGAGAGCACCTCCAGTGCCTAAAGGGGCTGCAGGAAAGCTGGAGAGGGGCTTGGGACAAGGGATGTAGGGACAGGCCAAGGGGAATGGCTTTAACCTGCCAGAGGGGAGACTGAGATGAGCTCTTAGGCAGAAGCTCTCCCCTGTGAGGGTGCTGAGGCGCTGGCACAGGGTGCCCAGAGAAGCTGTGGCTGCCCCATCCCTGGCAGTGTTCAAGGCCAGGTTGGACACAGGGGCTTGGAGCAAGCTGATCTAGTGGAAGGAGTCCCTGCCCGTGGCAGGGGTTGGAGCTGGAGGAGCTTTAAGGTCCCTTCCAACACCAAGCACTCTGTGGTGCAATGATCTCCGAGGTGGTTTTTTGCTGGTTCTATAAATGCCCAATGGCTCCTTCAAACGGGAAACCTTTCCCAGTGTGATCAGCCCAGAGCATAATCCCATTATCACGGTGCATGATGCTAAATACGCAGCCCAGTTCTTACACACACCTGTAACTGGGCTGTGCAAGCCAACAGCACGTGCGCAAAGCTGGGGCGCAAGCACTGCAGACACATTGCCACGTAAAGCAAGTATCTTGGCACAGGGTTTGGCGTCATGTTCGTATGGTGTTTTATCAGACCGCCACAGCAATAAAACCCGTGCAGAGCCAACAGTGGCTATAGAACAGGTAGGACTGTGTGCACAAAGGAGCTGAAATACAAGTATTGCTGCATCTCCCTACATGTAAACACTCCAACATTTCAAGTACATTATGTTTCAAATACAATGAAAGATTGAGCAGTATGATCGAAAACCACTTCTAAAGCAAGAGACTCACAGTGTTCTAGGCCATTTCAATTAAACTGCTGCAGTCAGGTTCAGTGAAAAGCAGAAGTAATGACAGGCTGTGAAACACAAAACACGGTTTGGTTCAGTGAGCATGTTCCAACAATCAGAAAACTGCACAGGGAAGATAATCTCTTCTTTCATGTCATTCAGTTTAATGAAACAATTAGTTCTCATTGAAGGCAGATTTAGTTAATCTAAAGTGTAAATTGAGTTTCTTGTCATTTCCTTTACCTGCAGCCTCTGAAAAGACTGCTCTGTCAGCAATCATGTTCCGCATTGTGCAGAAATCAAGGAGGAATGACTCCAAGGACTTAAACTCAGCAGCATGCCCAGCAGCTCCCACAGGGCTGGAGCGTGATTGCTGCATTCGGGTAATGACAGCATATTGTGTTCCTGTCATTATATCAGCTTTGCAGATAGAACTTAACAGTGTTCTGTGAGCACATCTGAATAAAGATCATTTTCCACAGAATTGGTTGTCAGCTTAGACATCCTTGGAGGCTGATCCCATTCAATTTAACCTGCCAGAATTTCCTTTGCTTGCAGAAATCAGGCCCATCAAAATAATCAGCAATATAAAACTTTCTCAACTTCTATTTAAGAATTTTTTACATATACTTGCTGGATTTTTTAAGGTGTACTTCAATAATATCCATGCCTTTGGCAGTCAGCTACCTATGCAAATCAGCATATAGAAGGTACCATATCACATCTAGACCTCGCCATGGAGAAAAAAAAGTATTTTAAATGAGTCAATTTGAATAATTTTTCAAGTATTTTCAAATATTATTTTCTTCCTCCATAGTATTCAGATAAGACCAGACAGCTTTAATAATGCTGACGACTTTAGGACTAGATCTGCAGAACTCTAGTCCCTAAAGATTTCTACACTGCAGTTTCCTAAAGGTCTTTGGCATAAATGAAGCTGTTCCTTGGCCTCATAAATCTTAGATGTCCACTGCCACCATTAGCTGCCTGGGCCCTTTTGTAAACCTTGCTTTTAGTAATGAATATATGCAGATTTTCTCAGTTAAATTTACTTGATATTGTTCTCTCGTGCGAGTATTTCCTTAATCTCTGCCTACTTACCTTTCTCAAGGCTTTGTGCACGTCTTTGTCTCTCAGCAGATGATTCCTGCGCCCTTGCCCAGGCTTAGGCAGTTCCTTTGCTTTTTTACTATTCACAACACACAACAGGATTATTGACCTGTTCTTGGAAAATTACAAGAACAGAAGAGTTGTTGCACAAATCTCCTGCCCCGACTCCCAGTGAAGCTCCTCATTCTGGAAAGTTTTGTGATGTAGATTACTCCTGTGGGTGTTAAACTGCAGCTAACAGAAGCACCAAAACACCATCTCAGAAAGCACAAATCCCGCAATTTTGCTTGCATTATCTGCCCATTTTGCTTTATGCAGTCTCTCCAGTAGTGGTGAAACTGGTGTTTAAACAGCACACAGCTAGAAGCCTCACTCAGCTTTCAGTCTGATTTACCATACAGTTTATTTTCCCTGTTACTGTCTGAAGCACTTCCTTGTATAATCATAACCCAAATAATTATGCACACTTCATAATCAACTGCACACACTGACAAAGAGTCCCAGTACAGCTCTTGCTCTACTTTTTGTTGTGTTTGCAGCTGTTAGAGGTGAATTTATTACCCCCAAACCTGGGCCTGTCTATGAGATGCCCAGCATTTCACAACAGTGGCTAAGGTTACCTGCCCTGGGGCAGGAAACACTGTGCAAGAGACAATCTTGACAATGCAAGAACTCATGTTCAGCTGCACACCTGCAAGGACTTGCTTCTCCAGCCCTTTGAATGGTGCTGTGCCTGACCTCAGCTCTGGAGTGCCTTTCTCAGGCAGTTTACTCCTTCCACATCACAAGGCAATTTCAGATAGAAGTTCCAAGCTTTCAGATTTAGAGCATGAGCTTTGACAGAGGAATTTATTGTTTGGGGTGACGAGGCGGTTTATTTGTTTAGAAAACCCAATCCACCACGGCAGAGATTACATCCACACTTTACCAGGTGAAATTCTGATGGATAGGGTTGGGATGGATGGATGGATATGGTTATGATTCATTGCAACACTATGGGTGAAATATTCAAAGATAAAGGACAAAAACAACTGGGAAGTAGCACAATTCCCTCACTTCCACTTTCCAATCCCTGTCGTTTCTACTACACAATCCACATAACACCACCCATGAAAAGTTACAGGAGTGTACATTTAGTACTGTTATCTTTTATTATATGAATTACATCATCTGTGCATACTGACAATAATAAAACCAGGTTTCCATATCACAAAGAGCAGGAACTTCACCAGTCTAAGAGAAAGCTGTAGCTGTGATACGCTGATCACATGGGAGTAACGTTCCAAGGATGATGCAAAAGCTCTTTAAACAGCAATACCAAATTCACTTCCTAAGACTAGCTCATTAAAGGAGAGCAAACAGTTATTACACAACATCTTACTAGTTTTCTGCGATTCATCTCATTACAGGATTAATGGTGTAACAGGAGGGGGGCGATACCCAGCTGCAAACAATGCGAATCAGTTCACACAAGACCTGACAAAACCAGGTACCAGCAGAATACAGGCATTTGGCTGGCATCAAGCTAGTCTTCAGGATAATTATCTTCTATGAAGAAATGTGGCCACAAGAACAAGACCTGACCTCAGGAACAGTTCAAAGATTACATATATGCTTTTTTAAGCATACTTTTAGGAAAACGGTAAATCCAGAATGGCTGAAATGGTTTTGTCTCGAATCTTTCAATGAATACTCTGGTTTGGCAGAGGAGACAAAGCATGAACTATCATTTCCTTACTGAGCACAGGGGCATTTAAACCACCTCACAACTACAGTACCATGTTGGGAGGCAGGTCTGTTCCGAAACATATCTTCCAAGGAAGAGGTAAAGCTGGACCTCACTAATTCACTTTCTCTATTCCAAAGTCAGTAGTCTTATGTTCTCCTTCAGCCTGCAGCCTGTCTCCAGGTTTTCAAAGATTTGCTACGACTTTAGATATTTGTAGCTCAGAAGCCTAAGAACAACTGTATGAAGTACCTTACTTTCAAATAAAATCCTGGTTTATTATCATTCAACTTCCACAAGCACGTTGAAGAGATTTTAATTGGATGTTTGCTTGTTTAGGTTTTTTTTAAGACAGAACTGCACCATTTTAAACCACTGCAACAGAATACAATGCAACAACTTCCTTGCATCGTGCCTCTGCTGCTCCCCTTCAGGAAAGAAAGGCACAGTGTTTCAAGGAAAACAATTAATGGAAATATGAAATCAAGACTTTCTGCTTTAGCAAGCTAAGTAAATTCTGCATGTAGCATAATTCCTTTAGCTCATCCACAGATTTAACATGAAAAATCTAAACTCTTAACGATGATGCTTCTGCCGCAATACAATTCATGGCTCTTTAGCAAGCAAGAGCAGCTCTAGTTTGAAAGCCTGAAGTACTGCACTAGCAGTTAATGAAACTAAGATGTTAAGATAAATTTATCTTCCAAAGCTTGACTTAGTCGTAAGTTACTGAACCTAAACTCTAATCACACCAAATCAATTATAGATGAAAAGTAGTTCCAGTGAGGAAAACAAAGAACTTCAGTTTTTTAAACATTTTAAATTTAGAAATGTGCTAGCTGCCATTTGAGTTTGAATGGCGAAAGAGACCTTCTCCTGTGAGTCATAAAGGGAGTTTATTCAGCTAAAACGTGCAAAGAAAAATGTCTCAAAGTGGGAGCAATATTACCAGTTCATATTGGACACAAGCGAATAAATTATTAATTAATTCCTCTAATCCGCTTTCTTGTCAGAAACTTCTGTGGATCTTTTTGCAGCAATTCCATTTGCAACGCCATTGCTTTCAAACTGCAAATAAAAGATAGCATC